AATGGGGAAGTTTATTAAATTTTAAAACCCATTGCGTGGAAACGTGGGCTACTTTAAATCATAAAAATCACTATAGATTTCGAAATTTCAGGAGAATAAAAGTGTTAACAATCATTTACCCTAATTTGTGACGGTGCTCTGCTCCACACGAATACACGTTGGCCCATGTTACTGATTAGCACAAAATAAAAACCGACAATATGCCCATCCAGTCAGGAATCGAAGCATGGAGACTCGAAGTGGGGAACAACAAAAGAATGGTCGCGGTACTAGAGCAGAATTGTGTTCGTAAACTTGGAACAAAACGCAACACTTTAACCGGGGACACCTCTACACTATCGGACAACTGCCGCTTCAGCAAACTTTCTTGGCTTCCAAGAAAGTAATTCTGGCAAAGATAAAACTGAAATTAGTTCCTCTGACTACGCACAACGTCGCAGCAAACGTTTAATGCAATATCCCACGCATAAATAATAAACCGTAAACCGTCTCGTTTACATATTATACTTCACACATCAAATAAAACCATTATAAACAGACCCACTCATGAAATCGACACGATACATCTAAAAAACAGACTGCGTACTCGTTCGTTACATACATAACTGAGGTTCGTGCGCTGTGTTCACCCTCGACAATTCGTTGCGAAATGATAAAGATAACTCTAAGGCCTATAAAACTTCTATAAACACACAAGAATTACACAGAGAAGCAGCTCCCTAACTTTCTGACATGACATCCATGTTTTTGTTTTTGTTTTTACAAAATCCTCACGATCCCTAAACAATTTATTGAAATAAATGTAACCGTTTGCATTTGTATTCATATCATATTTCCTGACTCAGATAATCCATAATTAGCAAAAGGAAAAAAAAAGAAAAAAGAAAGAAACAAGTAAAGCTATCCCTGTAACAAGCCGTGTAGGCCCATAGGGTTATGAGACATCGAGGCTCCCACATTTTCTCTAGACAATCGGCTCACAGATGGCTGTAAGACTGTCAGTCCCCCCCCCCCCAGGAATATTCCAGGTACTCACTTCTGTTAGACGCCGAGTCGACCCCAGGGCCATAGTGCGGTTGGGAGGATTAGGTCGATCGAAAAATCCAATGACCACATCGGACATCGAACCCGCGCCCTTGCGGCTTGTAGCAGAGTGCCTCAACCAACTACACAACTCCTTGCCCAAATTCATAATTAGGCCCACAGAAGAACTGTTAGCATGCACATTTTTAAAAAAGAAAATGATATCCCGAGCTCTCTATTTCGTAATGAACATCGACACACGTTTAAATCGAATCCCTGTTATTTCGTTAATATCCTGCTTAATAAATGTGACGTGTGCTTACGGAGAGGACCATTAAATCAGGATAAACAGAATTATTTCGGCTGAATTTAACGTAAAAATGATCTGGCTTCACACCACCCAAGAGGCGCTCCCGTCTGGTTAGCAACCGCAGCTATAAAACATACTGTCACGTGTCCGGGGTTCCGTGACTAACAACTACGGGTTCTGGATTGGATGATTTTATTTACTGGCACTTCTATTATAATTGCAGTCAGTGAGGGCCTCAGACTCGTTCCATTCCTCACTGGGCCACGAGTGTCTTCTCTTCCACTCTGGCTGACTTGGTTCTGATTTACGGGTCGGTCACTTCTTCAGCATCCGTGGTCCGCCGGGTAACACTCCACAGCTGAACACTCAATTACTGAACTGCCTTCTGAACTCTCTTCTGAATGACTGCCGATTCACGGCTCGCTTGCGACTGAACTCCCGAATAAATTACGTTTCTTCCTTTTATAATTTCGGGGCGAACCGAACTGAAAACACCCCCTCTAACACTTCGTCTATCACTGAGTGCCAATTCGTTGTCATGGAAACGTGCCCAGCAACGAGTATCCTTCCACTGTTGAGAACGTAACCTCACAAATGTGTTTACCGAACCGTTGTCTAGCAATGGTTTATTCAGGCTTTCAATCGTCATGTCACAATATTATCAAGAATACGTCGAGAGGTCAGTGGGGGTAAATCTGATTGAGGATAGGGACCAGTATAATTAACATTTGAGTCCCAGAAAATGTCTCGACAAGCTTAGCTTCTGAAGGACTCCGCTCCATAAAATGTTATAATACTTAAGAACTTACAGCAGTAATTAATACGACAGAACATGCATACTGCTCGTCCATTAAGATATAAATGCGAGTTCTTGACAAAACGACCGAGGGAACTCAAGATGCAGCAAATCTCGGCATCGCCGGTTGTACCCTACAGCTCATTCCCAAATCTTTCCGCACCGACTGCAACGTCAGTCTGTCCACACACGTTAAGTGGGGTAACTGACCCTCACAGATGAGCCGTTCTAAACGGGTTTCAAATTTAAACGGAGAAAACAAACCAAGCTACACACAGTACACACATTTACGCAGTGAGGATTCAGTGTCAAATTCCAGGGCAGGGGGCAGAAGCGATAGAAGAAAAACGTGTACACAGAGATGTGCAACGGTACTGTAAGCTGTACAGGAAGTCATTGCCTCCCTGTACTCGTACACCCCGGTCACGGTAGCAAAGCGGGCTGAGAGGCATGTACTGTCTTCGCTCGCTCGGAAGCCGGGATCGTGGGTTAGCATCCCACTCAGGGCATGGATGTTTGTTATATGTATGTGTTTATTCTGTGTTTAGGTAGAGGCCTTGTGACGGGCTGATCACTTGTCCAACGAGTCCTACCGACTGTAAAAATGACCAAAACGAAAAAACAAAAACCTCGACACCGCAAGGCATAAGGAGGACCGTGGTAGCGTAGTTGGTTGAGGCACTATGCTACAAACCGGAAGGTCGCGGGTTCCAGTCTCTATGAGGTGGATTCTTTTCAATTGACTCCTACCCAAAACAGCATGGATAGACCTGACAGAACAAAAAGATGAGTGTAAATCAAACATGATTTAAATATTGAGAGGGACCCTAGCTCAGCAAGCCCGCCCTCACTAGCCACCCTCTCGATCAAAACGAAACGGAGCAGACCAGTAATTACCCGCCTGTTTTAACGTTTCTGGCACTTTTACAGGTGATACTCGAACGGAAGTTGTAATTTTAATTGTGTAAAACGAAATTTTAATAATTTAATCTCTACTAAAATAATTAACCGGGATATTGCAGTTGGTATAGCAACTGGCTACTGGCTGGACGGACGAGGGGTCGGAGTTCGAGTCCCGGTAGGGTCAAGAATTGTTACTTCTCCATGTCGTCCAAACCGGCTCTGGGGTCCATCCAACCTCCTATCCAATGGGTACCGGGGGCTCTTTCCCCGGGGGTAAAGCGGCCGGGGCGTGAAGCTGATCACTCACCTCCAGCTAGTGCCGAGACGAAGAAAATATGGATCTATACATCCACTTCCCCACACGCCTTCATTGCGTAGTGCTTAATTAGTTAAGCATATGGACAACTTTTACCTTTTTCTTTTCCTTGGCACTACAGCCCCAGTGGGCCTAGGCCTACCTCCATGAACTTCTCCGTTCACTTCGGTTTTTCTAGATCTTACACATTCGGTAGGACTCCTTGGGCGGGTGATCAGCTCGTCGTAAGGCCTCTACCAACTTTACCTTTTACCTTTACTAAAATATGGATCCATTTTTAATGTTTTGACACAGTTCATGGACTTATGTATTGCCTGAGAATGACCTAAAAAGAAATGTCGAAACATGTCTCGATAAGAACTGCACAAATAAGCATATGTTGATACGATAGCAATTATGTTGTCTTGTTCAGTATTATTATTATTATTATTATTATTATTATTATTTTATTATTATTATTATTATTATTATTGTCGTGTTGACTGCCCCATTCGAAAGTATGAACAAATTTGACGTCTATACACCCACTGTTCCACACGACTTCACGGTGTAGTGCTTAATTAGTTAAGTACGGGGACAATTTCGCCTTCACTGTTACTGATGGCTGGAGCCTTACAAGTGTTACAGATCGGGTTTTGAATATCGCAAGGAAGCTCATGGGTTCGTAAAGGGAGGGGTGAGTCACTATTTCGTTTCTGAAGATGACTGCTGCAGATAATTAGTTGGAAATGTCAGAAAAGTGTTCGAAGTACTTTTTTTATTGCCAGTGGGGTGTGACTAAGTCCGTTGTACTGCGGCCACTTCTGGCCTATTGTACCAGTCCCAGATGATAGGTGAGGGTATTTGTGGAGCAATTGGTGGAATGAAGATTGGCAGGGGAAACCGAAGTACTCGGAGAAAACCTGCCCCAGCGACACTTTGTCCACCACAAATCCAACTTGACCAGACCCGGGATCGAACCCGGGCCGCCGCGGTGGGAAGCTAACGACTAACCGCTTGAGCTATGGCGCGCTCTCGAAGTACACTAACATTCGCTATAATTCCTAAACAGACCAACATGCTATTATGGGCAATGCTGGCACGCACACACTATCAAGAACACTTCGAAAAGGCAGTCTCACGGAAGAAGCCTTGACATCTTTCAGTGGTCACAGATGTGGTAATTCTGTTTCCCATACATTCAAAATAATATTACTAACTTTCTAACGACGTAGAACAATTTACATCACAGTCTAATCCAGGCACAAATTCACACGTTTCAGGTACACTACGCTACGTTCAATTGTCCGCATGTCGTGCGTATAGGGCAGCAAAATTTATTTAAAAAAAAATACATAACAGCTTTAATAGGCACACACAGAAACAAATACCCTAGGCACAAAATGAAAAGAGAGAACGAATGTGAACAAAGAAGAATGCAACAAGAAAGTGTAAAGTAAACAAATGTTTATTCTGCAATGCAATTAAGAAAAGGGAGCACGTGGTGTTTTGGCGCCACTGAACTAAACACTAACGCCACACAGCGGCAGTTTCCTAAACTACCTGACAGTCAGACTGAACACGTTATGGTCCATATTGGATGTTAATTCCGTCTGATTGGACAACACGCAGCAGTTGTTTAATTGTGTTTTATGGAAAACGGACGGTCCTACCTTTCTGAGGCCTTCGTCTGACCAAAAACTGCTTCCGTCGGCTTGCCATTTCCTTCAATAATTACCACATTGTCAAGATAACTTGTAAAAAAAAACACGAAGTGAAAACACACACATATATATATATATATATATATACAAAGCTCGGACGCGCAAGGAAGCCCCAACCGGTTTTGTGCCACGCCGTGACAGAACTGATGAATTGGTGGGACTGAGCATACAGGGGGGAGGAGACGTGACAAGCCAAGAGCATAGGCCTGGGGGGGTGGGGGCCGAGCGGGGGGTATGTTAGGTGCTTTCGATCACTGGCATGGGTAGTTACTGGGGGAGGTGTTAGACCACGATCCCAGGTTGCCACATGTATCCAATTCTGCTGACTGCTGTAGAGCAGCAGGTTATGTCATGCCATCAAATCAGTTGTCTGGGACCTTGTGTTGATCAACATTTCTCGACTCCTCTGAACCACACAGGCATTTTCCGTGCGCTTACAGTCGCCATTAAGAATAAACGAAATTCGCCGTTTGCAGTCTTCATATACCCGCCCCTTGTCGAAAAACCTAACGTTTAAAGCATTAATTACTTAACTAATAAACAACTACATCATGAAGACGTATAGGGGAGTGGAGATGCAGCTCCATTCACAGTTATCATTTGCACTAGAAACAGGTAAGCGGTCGGTCAGCTTCACGTCCCGGCAGCTTTATCTCGAAGGACAGAGCCAGAATTGGACAAGAGGGTTGGTGAGCCTCACAGACCGTCTGGACGCAGTCCAGTCCGCAGCCTGTCGTCGTACAGATTGAGCCACTCCAGCTCCCATGAATCGAAACATCAAAATACAAAATCTTATTCTTACTTCCTGCAGCTTATGGGCCCAAAGCTCAGTTCCAGTGGTTGGGAGAGGCACTAACAAACCAAAATTTGGTTCGCGACGCCATTAAGAGCAGACGGAATTAGGGTAATGCTTGCTACCATTCAGCTCACAACAGTTTGTCTTCTCGCCTGATGTGTAGAAAAGATTAAACTTTTCCCTGTGGTTCTGTATGGGTGTGAAACTTAGTTTTGACATTAAGGAGGAACATAGACTGAGGGTGTTTGAGAACAGGGTGTTGAGGAGAATATTTGGACCGAAGAGGGATGAAGTGACAGGAGGTTGGAGAAAACTGCATAATGAGGAGCTTCATAACTTGTACTCTTCTCCAAGTATAATTAGAATGATCAAGTCAAGGAGGACGAGGTGGGCAGGGCATGTAGCACGCATGATGGAGGAGGGGAATGTACATAGGATTTTTGTAGGCAAAACAGGATGAAAGAGACCACAAAGAAGACCTAAACTACACGTATGTGGGTGGATAATATTAAGATGGATATTAGAGAAATAGGATTTGGTGGTATGGACTGGACTGATCTGGCTCAGGATAAGGATCAGTGGCTGGCTCTTGTTAACATGACAATGGACCTTCAGGCTATATAAAATATTGGGGAATTCTTGAACATCTGAGCGACTGAAGGCTCGGCTCCATCGGTCTCGAAACCTTAGGGAAGGCGACAGAATGCAGTGTCTGAGAAGAAGGTGACGAGGAAATTGCTCTGTCTTACGACAATGAACTAATGGTGGGTGGGATGGGGGAAACATGTAGCACCCATAGGGGGATGAGAAATGCATGCATAATTTTATTGAGAGAGATCCACACTAGCACCCTCAGCATGATATGTGCTACACATGCATACTGAACATAAACCGAATTACCGCTACACTACCCTACCCGATGTTCAATTTATAATTCTCACGATCCAGCAACTCATGTATACGTCAAAGTCGCTAAAAGGCAAAGAAAGGGGAGGGGAAGTAAGCGAAAAAACACAGAGCGTGTTTAGAGCAAACACTGTTTCGCTGAGGACAATAATCCAAGAAAAATTCTGTTGAGAGTGAAAGGGGGGGGGCACCAGACGACTGTTGTATTTCATACGTCAACACAAGCATTTGGTACAGTCCAAGAAAAGCAATTCACTTGCCAACAGCCGACCACTTCGTGAGTCATAATCAACGCTAAGGTATTTCATTTTGACATGCCTCCACAGCTTAACGCTGCAGCCGAACAAGGGTACTTTTCCCCTTTAACTCGTTCCAGAAGGCAGTCATTAAACCGTTCCCACACAGAAATGTGTTTTGGAAGATGATACAAATGCCACTAACTTGAAAATACAAACCGCCAATTCATAATTCACGGCAAATCTGATAACCTACTTTAACATGCTATGGGTATGTTATATTATTGTGATGTGCTGCCTGAAAGCCGGACTATAAGACGTCCATCACTAGTCAACGTCTAGCAATTCATGGGCAGCGACGCCTAGGATATCACTGCCCCGGGGATGAAAATCTAACAGTGGGGTTTCACCTTAACAAACGAATTGTTTGAGGCAGACACATATTCACGCAGCAACAAGAGATTCGTTGCATAGCAGAAGGCGAAATTAACCCCTCGACAAGGTGTGCCCTATTCAGTCCGAGTGCAGGATATAACAGTTCGTATTCGGCAAGAGACCTGTAGAGTTCGTAGTCGACGAGAGCTAGGGACAGTTGAGCTCTGAGCAGATCTACCTGAACACAGAACAACATAAACACAGAATAAACGCATATACACACCAAACATCCATGCCCTAAGTGGGATTACAACCCACGATCCCAGTGTTCGGGCGAGGGAAGACGGTGCATGCCTTAGACAGCTCGGCTACCGTGGCAGGCGTATAAATGGTAACCATGGAATTATAATTACTCTACAATAACAATACAGAGATATCCCGAAGTTACAATAAAAATATCCCCATATCCTGCTCTCTAAACTTACTGTTGCTATGGTTCTCGCAATGTTATGATGACAGTATTTTGTGCCTCTGTCCCTTGATAGCGTGAAGGACAGAGAAGACGCAATCAAGACATACACAACATTAACAATATTCAGAAACATAATTTGAGTCTTCAGAATTAATTTATAATATAGGCTTAAGCTCCAGCAGCTGAAGGACTTACCCCTGGCGTACAGTGCACTGCATTGCTGCGTTCACTCACCTGAAACACAAAGAAACGACACGTTTTAGTACTTGCTAATGCTCTGTTCGCAGGAACACACTTCTACAGCGCGAGCTGAGGTTCAAGTTGTTTCAATTCTCAAATGACGCTTCCACCAGTTGACGTTATAAGCTAATGGGCGCCTTACAGAATGACAGGGTCACAATGCATAACGAACAGAACAGAGATGTTGGAGAATTGCTACAGCCGAATAAGAAGTACTAGCTAAATTAACTCCTTGGAGCTGAGCCCTTCTTGAGAAGCCGCCAGTTGTCAAGCTACTCACCCACTTCCCAGCATTTTATGAAACTGGAATGTTCATTACCGTGTTCACAAGAGCCCTTCACTGGTCCTGATCTTGAGCCAGATTAATCCAATCCATCCCATCCTATCTAAGATCCATTTTAATACTGTTTCGGTCTTCCCAGTGGTCTCTTTCCTCATGTTTTGTGTGTGTTATAAAGTATAACACACGCAGTCACAGGAGCAAGACACAACACAAAGCACAATACACACATGAAACTANTAGTATAAAGACAACAGGGCATGCAATGAAGTAGTTCGACGTACATCGAAAAGCACCTGAAGATGGCACTTTAGTGCCGAAACATGTAGTGCAAGAGAGAAGAGTAAGGTGAATAAATGTATGCACTGTAAGACGGTCAGAATAAATCATGGACATTGATCATTCTAATAATACTTGGAGAAGAGTACAAGTTATGAAGCTCCTCATTATGCAGCTTTCTCCAACTTCCTGTCACTTAATCTCTCTTCGGTCCAAATATTCTCCTCAGCACCCTGTTCTCAAACACCCTCACTCTATGTTCCTCTCTTAATGTCAGAGACCAAGTTTCACACCCATACAGAAACAGAGGCAAAATTTAGTTTTGTATATTCTAATTTGTATGTTTTTGGACAGCAGACGAGAATACAAGAGGTTCTGGACTGAATGGTAGCAAGCATTTGCCGAGTTCAAACTGCTCTTAATTTCATCATGAGCTAAATATTGATTTGTTACTGTCGTTCCCAAATATTTGAACTGTGCTACATTTTCAGGGGATCCGTTAACTATCTTTAATTTACTATGTTGCCCTGCATTCTGTTGACGAGACAGCACCATGTACTTAGTAATCATTACTTCGGCATTTCTCTTGAAATTAAGAAAAATTTGGGAGCACTTGGGTCTGCGTCTCCTTCTTTGGCCGACTTTCAACCCATCACACCGCGAACACGAAGCAGAAATTTTGCTCATTCAACAGCTCCGCTGTTGACCTGTGTCATCACGATATCTAACTAATGTTTCGGAGCAACATATCGCCTCTATCTTCGCTGCCGAAACATACGCCAAACAAGAAATCAACAGCAAACAATGGCGTGCGGCCTGCTGCATAAGTTGACTGTTTAACAAGAAACTTTCGTTTGTGAGAGCTACCTTTCATAAAGTCGCTTAATTTTCTCCACTTCAACCCAGGCACAAGACACCCAAAACAAATATAATACCAAAATTCGCATGTTTCTCACGTTATTAGTACTTCATATTCGTGTCGATTAGAAAAAGTTCCGTTTTACATTGAACATGGCCGCCTCTGTGGTCTAGGTGTCAGAGTTCCTGGCTACAGATCCAGAGGTCCCGGGTTAGATTCCCGGTGCCACCAGATTTTCTGAGAAGTAGTGGGTACTATGTTACAAGACGTAAGGGCACGGGTTCGAGTCCCGATGAGGTCATTGGATTTTTCACATTGACCTAATCTTTCCAGCCGCATTATGGCCCTGGGGTCCACTCAACCTCTAACAGAAATGAGTACCAGGAATATTCCGGGCGGTAAAGGGCGGCCGGCGCGTAAGGCTGACCTCACCGCCATCTTTGAACCGACTGTCTAGAAAATGTGGAAGCCTCGACAACCCCATGGGCCTCCACGGCCTGTTACAGGGATAACTTTGCCTTTTATAACTTGCATTCGGGGGTTGCCTCGTTCGAATCTTGGCCA